CATTCACATAAAGAGCTTAATATATATGGATGGCACTTTAGTTCTGTCATTTTATGAATGGGTTGTTCATTGATTCTTTTCTGTTGTCATTTTACTGGAATATTCTTTGGATTTGCCTTTTGTTTTTGTGGGAGCTATTCCTCTCCTCTGTCAAGAGCAATCTTGAAGTATCATTTGTAGGGCAGGTTAGGAAAGCACAGAACAACAGCAGAGGGGTTCATGGAGACTAACAGATACAGCAAAGCACAGTCACAATAGTGTGGTTGCAGTAACTGATACCTCAGCATTCATCTAATGGCAACCTGAACTCCACCAGCAGCTGAAAATCCACCATCAACCAGGTGGAAAAGAATGTTCATTGGGGGCTAGGGAGGTAAACCCAGACAAAGAGCTGTCTGTCCTGGTCCCTTTGATTTGACTGGGAGCAGAGACAGAGCAGCAGGTCCCTGATGAGCAATAAGGGAACAGAGTGGATTTCACAGCCCAGAGCACTCCCTGAAGCTGAATGGGTGACATTTTGTTTAAAGAGGCAAATGCTATGGGGTAGGAATGCTCATGCACAGAGCAGAGAGTGAACTCATTTCTGGCTTAGTGAAAAGCAACAACGTGGTATCCTACAGGTTCCATCTAAAAGAGGTCTGGGTAGCCATCACACCTGATGGCCAGCACATCAACAACTCTAGTAGTGGCACATCAAGCACCATTTTTACAGTGTGGCAAAGAAATTGAGTGGTGTGGCAACAGTAAACTGTGTATATGCTGAGTTTGGTGAGAACTCAATTAGTTCAGTGGATAGCGCTGATCTCACAGGAAAATAACACTGACTATGGCATTGTATGGGTCTAAATAGGTCCATGTGGCTCTCAGACCTAATGTCCAACAGATTCTGGCAAGATCAGCAGCACCAACAACCTGGCTATATAGGACAAATGGTGTCTCTATTTCTGGGACATGCTCCAACTGGAAGTGGGAGAAAGTTTGCAGAGAAAATGGTGTAGCCTCAGCATGATATCACAGGAGGTGGAGGCTGGTGATCCAGGAGCTGGGGCTGTGGAGACGATGGTGGAAATCTAACATAAGAACACAGATTGGGAACTGACTTTAGGGAGTGGCACAAGTGGCTGCAAGCAAAAGTTGTGTATCAAGTGCAATAAGTAAAATTGAACTGTAGGCCTATGGGTGACAGAGCTTAGAAACTTGCCCTAAGGAGAAGAATTTGCCAATCAGAAGTACAATCACCAAGAGCAAAAGAAGAGACAAAGGCACAATTAATATTACTGAATACTCCTCTTCAAAGTATTTAATAATAATATTCCCCTATGCCAACCTCTGAGTTAATTGAGGAAGACATTGAGTGTATGGGAGATACAGAATTTATAAAACTCATTTTAAGTTTCTGATCAACAATGAAGAGCACATACAAGGTCAAAGAATTTCAGAAAGCAATAAAGCAAATCAATGCCGATCTATCAGAAATTAAGAACACAGTAGAACAAATTAAAGTACAATGGAGGGTCTCCAAAACAGAATTAAGCAAGCAGAAGAAAGAATCTCAGAATTGGAAGATACTTCCTCTCATCAGTGGAAAGCAAAAAAAAAAAAAAAGAAGAAGAAGAAAGGGTGGAAGCAGAGCTGGACTAGGCATCCCCAAAAATATTCCAGTATGTAAGACATTGTTAAGAAACCTAACACACAGTTATGGGAGTCCCAGATGGTGCAGAAAGAGAAACTGGTTTTACAAATATATTTAATGAAATAATAAAGGAAAGCCTCACTAATCGAGAGAAAGGAGTTGGAAACAACATTCAGCAGAGCAACAGAACCCCCAACAGGCTTGTCCAAACATGATCTTCACCCCAATACATGCTCATCAAGCTCTCTTCAATTGAAGACAAGGAAAAGATCCTTAAATGTGCACATGAAAAAAATCAGATGACATATAAAATAATCCCAATTAAACTTTCAGGAGACCTCTAACAGGAAACTAGTATAAAGGAGAGAAATGAGTGACATACTCCAGATTCTAAAAAAAAGAAAAAAAAGAAAAAAAGAAAAACAAGTCAGCCTCAGGTAACATAGCCAGAAAAGAAAGCTTTCTTTTGTTTTTAAAAATGAAATAAAATTCCATGGTTAAGAAAAGTTCAAAGAATTTGCATCTTCCATATTTATTCTTAAGCTTCACTTTTATTTATATAGTCTGATACCTTTGCCTTTGCAAAAGAACTACACAGAAGACACGTACAATTCAAACCACTGTGATAATGACTCAAATATTTACAATCTTGTCAATGATTTTTTTTTTAAGATGAGGGACTATTTTTATTGTATTGCTTGAATGGCAATGTAGTTATGTAACCCAGTCACAATAGTGTCATTTACCATATCTTGTTTTTTTATGTTCTTTTTTTTTTTAAACTTTTGTTAATAACATTGTATTATGTGATACAGTATAATAGGTGTTTGGATTTCCCCCACTCCTCCCACAGCCTTCCCCACATGGTGCATAACCACAGTTCAAGTCCAGTTGAGATTCCTTCATTGCAAGCACATACCCAGCATTGAGCAGGGCATCTTATTTTTCTGATAACTTTAACAGCTTCTTGGGGAGGCCTTCCCTGGACTGAAGGCAAAGCTAACAGTGTAAAATCCCGGTCAGTTAAAAGCCCCAACAAAACTTCAGCAACAATATACAACATTATGAAATTGATTGACATAGTATTGAGGAAACAATATGTTAAAAATAATGCAAGTTCAACTTTTCAAAACACATGTGTTGAGACAGTATCAATGGCAGGATCAAAAAAAAAAAAATAGAGAGGTTAAATTAAGGCAAACATGTGGTATCTAACCTTTTGGGATTCGCTCATTTCCCTTAGCATTATAGTTTCCAGTTGGGCCCATTTAGCCACAAAGAACTGCATTTTTTTTTTTAATAGCTGAGTAGTATTTCATGGAGTAGATGAAACAAAGCTTTCTTATCCAATCTTCTGCTGTTGGGCATCTCAGTTGCTTCCAAGTTTTTGCAATTACAGATTGTGTTGCTATGAACATAGAGGTGCATGTTGGTTTGTCATGAAACAGGTGTTTTGGATATATTCCTAAGAGTGCTATTGCTGGATCACATGTGTTCTCCAGACTGATTTCCATAAAGGCTGTACCAACCTGCAGCCTCACCAGCAGTGGAGTAGGGTTCCCTTTTCCCCACATCCTCACCAATAAGTGTTGTTGGTGTTCCTTTTTATGTGGATAAATCTTACTGGTGTTATGTGGTACCTCCCCGATGTCTTAATTTGGATTTCCCTTATTGACAGGGAACTGGAACATTTTTTCATATGTTTGTTTGCCATTTGGGCTTGTTCTTTGTGAAATGTTTGCCCATTTCCCATGCCCATTTCTTGAGTGGCTTGTTTGTTTTGGTATTTTGGTTGTTTTGAAGTTCTTTGTTTATCCTGGAGATCAGCCCCCTATCCCTATGTAGTGTGCAAAGATCTTCTCCCACATTGTGGGAGACCTAGTCGAAGAAAACTACAAACTATTCAAAAAAGAAATTAAACAAGACCTCAAAAGATGGAATAACATCCCATGCTCCTGGATAGGCAAGATCAATAGCATTAAAATGTCTATACTACCAAAAGCAATATACATTTTCAATGCAATTCCAATCAAATTGCCCAAAACATTCTTCACGGAACTGGATACAATGATTCAAAAGTTCATCTGAAAGCACAAAAAAACACGAATAGCTAGAATCATCCTAAAGAACATTAAGTTAGCAGGAGAATCACAGTTCTGGACCTCTGGACATACCATAGAGCAGTGGTTATCAAAACAGCCTGGTACTGGCACAAAGACAGAAAGGAAGATCAATGGAATAGAATAGAAGCACCAAAAGGGAACCCACACAAATACAGCCAATTAATCTTTGACAAAAATACTGATGACAGTCCAAGCAAATGGAAGGCCTCTTCAGTAAGTGTTGTTGGGACAACTGGCTGATAGCCTGTAGAAACAAAAAGATAGACCCACATCTATCACCATACACTAAGATCCAATCTACATGGATAAAAGACCTAAAGCTACATCCAGAAACCTTCAAACTCTTGCAAGAAAATGTTAGAAATACCCTGCAAGACCTAGGAGTAATTCCTGACTTTCTAAAAAGGACACCAAAAAAGCAATAGCATTTGAGAACAGAATAAACAAATTGGACCTCATCATACTAAGAAGCTTCTGTACAGCAAGGGAAACAATCAGCAAAGTAAAATACCCTGTTCATCTTGTTGCTTTTCTTGAGTATTAAAGGTAATATGAAATAAGAATTAAGATCTTATTGCTCTCTATTAATTTTTTCCAACTCATGAATATTTCTTAATTTCATCACTTTTTAATGAATTCATTTAGAGCAATGAATCAATTCATTCGGAAATTTAAAGTAGGTCTGTGGTCATTTTCTGGGTTTTCTTTTAACCAGTTAATAACTAGCAATTAAATAAAAATTTTAAGGTTGAATCTAACAGTTGATTGATATATCTTGGTTTCATTTTTTTATCCAATGCTATATCTTACTTAAAATAAAAAATATGAATAAGAACCCATAAGATTGCATCAAAGAAAAAAATTCAATATAGAATATCCAAAACCTAAACATTCTTTGAAAACAGAATCTTGTTATTTGACCATGATAATGATATAAAATACATAAAAAACCTACATATTCTTTGTATATGTATACATAAAGAATACCTTATATTTTTCATGAATTGTAGAAATTGCCTGAAATGTGTGTAGAATGAAAAATGATAAGAAATGAATAGCTCTTTAATATGAAAATCTGTATGTTTAATACTATACACAATTCAATTGTGAAAAGCAATTGATGTTTCCTGTTTATTTATGTATTTATTTATTTATTTTTACTATGATGTGTTCACAGTTTATTTCTTGCTATTTGGATGAAATTCCAGACTTCATTGGAGTGATAGAGAAGAATTGGACTTAACATGACCTCAAGCACTGATTCAGACTCAGAGGAGCTTGATGGAGAAAAAACAGCTGGAGTTTTAGCTTTAGAAGAAATTGTAATCCAAGACCCCAAATCTCACATAAATTTTCCATTTAGCATTTTATTCTCAACTATTATCTATTGCGGTGAGGTTGCTTCTGCTTTATACATGTTTGAATTTTATCGGCGGAATAATGAAAAATTCTTGATGTCATTTACCATTGGCATCATAATCATTGAAGCTATTTTGGACCAAGTGACACTGATGTTTTTTGACATGGACTTTTCCAGAAATAGGGCTGTCTTAGTTTTTTCACACATTCTTTTTTTAGGACCTATTGTGAGGTAAGTGATACTATAAATTAGTTTTGTTAGAAGAAAACAAATCTATAACAAGGAGACTAATAACATAAGTATATAATTTAGCATAATATAATTGTGATTAGCTTAACATATACGCTTATATAATTGTATGTAAAAGGAAATATGTGTGTATAAAAATAGGAACCCCATGCAAAATTTTGCAAGCCAGAACACTCCCCACCATACACTGAGGTACACATTGTTGTGCATCCTCTCAAATCTGTAGAAAACAGTAAAAATTATTTATTTTAATTTTATGATACAATTGTACAGGGTCTAGGATTTTCCCACTCCATCCTCTAAGGTCCTTCCACCAACTATTTTTCCCCATATTATGACAACAGAATAGTCCTAAACATTATTTGTTTTACTAGAAAACCAAATTAGACATGTAAGGAGACAGAGAAACAGAATGATTATTCATTCACTGATTCACTATGCAAACAGTAGAGCTGAACCAATAGAAAACCAGGAGCCAAGAGCTTCTTCTGTGCATAGGACTTGAAGATTTTGGCAACTCACTGTTTCTTTTATGGATAAGCAGAACGTAATAGGAAACTGAGGATCCTTGACACGTACACATGACCCATATAGGATTCCATCACATTGTAACAATGCACAGTGCCCAATTTGTTTTATTATTTTTAGAAAAGGCAAAAGATTTATATGATCTGAAGAAAGTTTGTGTTTCTATAGAATATATATATATTTATTAATTTTGTTGCATTATGTGACAGTGTCATAGGCTCTGGGATTTCCCCAAATTCTTCCCACACCCTCCCTCCATAGTGGATTGCTCCACCTTGGTGCACTATTACAGTGTAAATTCAATCAACATTCTTTTATTTCAAGCATAGGGCCCAGAATCTTGTTATCCAGATCAATTCAATTATTTCTTGGGGAGACCATCTCCGGTCTGAAGAGCTGGCAGAATATCATTCCAATCAATTAAAATCCACAACATAACATCAACAACAATCTACAACATTATGGAATTATTTGACATGGTATTGAATAACCAATATGTTAAAAAATGCAAGTTCTTAACCACATCCTTTGACTACTTTATTGACACTTCATTTTAGTTTATAGCGTTGAACCATCTGCTATGACCTTAAAATGGCTATAGAGTACTATTCAGCTTTCTCATGTCTATTTTCATTTTACTATTAAGCAGTTTATAGCGTTGAAACATAATTTTGCAGAACTTGGCAGATTTTAGGATAGTCTAAACTGGCTTATAATGCTAACAAGGCATACATCAACAGTTGAGGTGCAGAACAGTTTAAGGAGCGGTGTGCAGAAAAATCTTTACTACCTTAGCGAGGAGTAACTAATTTTGTGTCCTACCTAGTATGGAATGTGTGAGTCAATGCTGACCATTTCCTGTCTGGTTCTAAGCTTTCCTTGTTCTGCATTATTTTTGTGTGTGTATGTGTATTCGGGTGAAGGGCCTCTGGAGCAACACTAATGGTCATTGCAAAAGTGTGGGGATACAAAGTTGGAATTAATTAAGAACTAGAAAAGCTCTTCTCCCTAGTCCCAAAGGAAATATACTGTTCTTCTGTTTCTGTGGACCGCTCAGGGCTCTTGGCTGTTGTTCCAGTGATTTAGATCCTGAGAGGAAGGATTTGGGCTTCTTCCATTCCATGTGGGAGATCCAAATGAGGTGGAAGACCTCAGAGTTCTTAGTCTTTGAAAGCACTCCAATTCCACATGGTCTCTGGCAGTTGGGATGTAGTCATTTGTGCCTGTACTGATAGTGCTTGGTGAGGAACTGGGAGTCTCCAGGGTTGGGATACAAGCCTCCTCCTGTCCACCGGCTCTACTCTGGTGTCCCCTGCTACTTTGTGCATATGACCTCCTGTTCAGAAGATGTCAAGATCGCTCAATTCCCCCGGTATGCCTTTGCAGTTTTACCATTGTCTAATGCTGATTCGAGTCTGTTGTCTATAAGTTATCTGTTATGCATTCTAAGGAGATGGAAGATTTCTCTGCTCTCCTGCCCCATTTCTGAGTAGCAGTTTCCATAGAATATGATATTTAACTCATTATTCTGTATGAGAAATTACTTATGAATAACTGAAAAAGAACAAAACATTAACAAAGCTCAACATATAAGATCTTGACAAAAATAGGAGAAATAATGAGTAGTGACAAAAAATAAAATATCTGAGAAGTCCTATAAAAAATACAAACCACAGACTAGCATGAAAATGTCAAGCTAATTTTGACCAAAAAATAAAATACATCATGTTTATAAAGTCACAAATACTAATCAGAGTGATCTTTTTCTGTAAAAATAAATAAACTTTATAACTTTTCATGTGGACTTGTGTGTTTGGGAAGACTCAAAAATTACTATATTCATTTTCTTTTTTTATTGTTTTTTATCCTCATACAGTCTGCTTTTCTCACTTTAAATCCTTTTTTGTTCAGACAAGCATCTGTTTGACATGCAACTGACTATCTTCCCTTTTAAACAGGATTATATCAGAATTCATTTGTGATATTGTTAAAACATAATACCAGAATTCACTTTTGATACTCCATAAATTTTAAATGCAATAGTCATATTAGCAATAATCTCTTGAGATACTATTTTGTACTCTGAGAAAAAATAATCCAGTAAAGCATAAAACACTTTATAAAGTGATATGCAGAAGTTTATTGCTTCCAATTCACTAAGCTGATGCTTATTTTCACTTTTTTTTTAGAGAACATCATTGAAATATGCTGGTTTAAATTTCAATCTGGTTTTACAAATCTGTTCTCTTACCCTAAATTACAATTTTGATTGTAAATGTTTTTTATCATTTATACATTGTGATAAGGATCTACTTCCTCTCCTAATTTAAAATCTTTGATGATACCATTTGTAGTGTACATATTATTAATGTATCACTGCCTACAGGGACATTAATAGGGTGTGGGAAGTTTGATATAAGATTTTAAAAAATAGAAAATAAACATCATAAAAAATACAAATGCAGTTTATCCAAAAGGATGCCCTTCACTTTTCAAGAAGATTCACACAGAAGGGCCCTTGTCTCAATCTTTTATAAAAATGCATGAGAAGTCAAATTAAGGAATTGGTGTGGCACAAATACTGATATCTATATTTGATGTCAATGTTAATCAGTTGGTGTTTGATGATCAATAAGTAGCAGCTTCCTGCTTGTGACCCTGGAAACCAGTCAAGAATGTGCCTGATCCTGTGTGGGAAACCCAGAAGAGGTTCCTGTCCCCTAGCTTTGGATTGCCACAGCTCCAGGCATTGTGGCTATTTGGCGAATGAATCACATAAACAATAGCCAGTTATGTGGCTGTTTAAATGATTTCCTAATACACATACAATCTTGTTTATTTGGACCATTGCACAGTATATTCTCTCAACAGCAGGTCTCAGCCTTGAGCTTGGGCTTTGCCTCACTTAAATACTATCTTCAGTAGAGTTCCACCTCAGTTTCTGGCAATAGCGTTGGGTGAGCTTAACATTCCAGACACAATTCATCCACTTCTTCTTTATCAAGTCAAGCTGTTAAAAATTTATAGATAACATGCAACAAGATGACATTCTATGACATTTTATGATGCTTCATATTATATGATGTGATTTGTAATTGTAATAGATTGTAAGAATTTGTGCATGTATATTAAAAAGACTATAATGTTCATCATTAGTACCTTTTTCATCATTTTGGTTCTTCTTTTACAGTTTCTAAGAAGTTGCCTTCTACTACTTTTAAAATTGTAGATTTTTTTTCACAAGAGTCATTTAAGGTGAATAATAACTACAAAGGTTTCCAGATTATCAATGTGCGGGTGAACTGCAGTTCATATTGTGTGCTGATTAATATAGCAACTATTTTCATTTACTAATTGTTATAAATAGTATTGTAACATTACTGTTGTCTTCTGCCTAAAAATATTTATGGGGCTAGCACAGTAGCCTAGCAGCTAAAGTACTTGCCTTGTACACACTGGGATTAAATATGTCTGCTGGTTCTAATCCTGATGGCCCTGCTTCCCAGCCAGGTCCCTGCTTGTGGCCTGGGAAATCAGTCAAGAATGGTCCAAAGCTGTTGGACCCTAATCATGTGTCTGAAACCCAGAAGAGGCTCCAATCTCCCAGTTTTGATTTGCCACAGCTCCAGGTATTCTGGCTACTTGGTGAATGAATCAGCAAATGGAAAATCTTCCATCTCCACCTTTCTACTCTCTATATACCTGACTTTCTAATACAAATAAACAAATCTAAAAACTTAATGAAATATTACCTTAAGTTTTTAGAAATTTAAGCAGTTTTGTCTTGAATATATTAAACTTATTTAGATTCAGTTTTCAGGAGTTTCATAAATATTTTGAAATGCTTGCTGTTTTGTACTATGGTGGTCTGTATTAAATAATATTGTGATGACTATCCTTTTATAATTCTTTCATTCATTAAACCAAACCTTATCAATCTAGTTACCTCAGTTTGTTAATTTTCTCTTTCCCAATCTCAGCAGGCAGTTCATTATGCTTTTTCTTATGTTTTTCAATCAGGATAAATGTGATTGTCTTTCCACAATAGTAAAATTAATAAATAGTTGAAACATTCAAAATTATTTTCAAATTGTTTTTCTTTAAATTATTTTTCATAATCTCTTTGCATAGCTTCAAGTAATTCCTTGCCAGCATCCGTATTTACCCTCCACTCCTCATAATCCATCATGTTTTTTTAAAAAAACTAATCTGTTAAGTGGCAATTTAGAATTGCCTGCTTCTCCCTAAGTAATATCCCATTCTGTAGAAACCCCAAACACATTTTTAGTTTCTATATTACCCTTTTCTCAGACTGTACATATGAGTGATACAATGTGACTGTCTTTCTGATCATGGCTTCCTTCCCTTTAAATAATGACAACATCTCTATCCCCGTTCCTATAAAGTAAGATTTCATATTATAAAAATGTACCACATTTTGCTTATCTAATGAT